CCACATATTTTCAGAGTTGGTGTAGAACCACTTATAAATAAATTCAGTATGTTACCTTATTTATTTTTGATCTATAACATCCTTTATTATCTGTGCTTTTCAAAAATACTCTTTGAATGAATGAACAAAGTGTATCCATAAACTAAAATATGGTGAGTCTATTTAATAGCTACAGTCATATACATAAATATCAATAATATACAGGAAGGTAAATGTATCTTAATTGCATGCATCCATCTTCACTGCATAGGAACATCTCTTATTTAGGTTGATTCTATTCCAATTTAATTTTTCCTTCCCAAACTTAATGAGTAAATAGGGTGATAGAAATTTGCATTGCACATTAAGACAGTATAAGCCATCTAAGTAGCCAAAATATAGACAGATATATTCTTATGATACAAGTGTTAGCTCTAATTAAATGAAAACATTATGTAGTAGACTTTTGCTACAGTATTTCCAAAGCAAAAGAAAAGTCTACTACGTAATGTTAATTTTGTCCTTTAATAACATTTTAGTATTAATTTTGTCATTTAATAAAATTTTAATGCCTTCAGAAAAGCTTTATTTACCAATGTCTTTAGGGAGTTACCCTAACTGAAATTAGATATTGAAAAGGAAAAGAAAACACATAAATTTTTAACAATTATCTCTGCTTTTCATCAGTTCATTTTATAAATCTTCACACTAAATTAATAGAGAGGAAATAATCACTGAAAATGGAACTTCAAAAGAATTGAGGTTTAAGTAGAAACATCCCATTTTCTGATTTTTACTCTTGCTTTGATTTAATAATAAAATAATTGCTCTGTACCTCACATTTGAATGTACCTTTATAGCTTTAAAAGAATTTCTTTAGTACACTGTGAACTAGAAAGCATAAGGCCAAAAATTACATGACAATTCAGTTGTGAATAAAGGGAGAAAAACTCAAGATTTCTGATTCTTGCATGTGTAAACCAAGTAAATATTCTTTATGAATAATACTGTAAAGATAAAAAACTTATACCAGAACAAAAAAGCATGTTTAGACTTAAAAAAAAGTCTAATGACTATAAACATAATGAAAACACTGAAACAGTCTTGTCTTGTTCACTCGTGCCCAGGGATCTCTCAGGTAAACATCTAATCATTCAAAGTGAACATGTGGCAGAGTCAGCAGATAACTTAAGCACTTAGGGGTGTGATGGTGTTATCCTCATCAACTTATTAAGGTCTGTCATAGCTTGGATAAGACACTTAAACTTTTATGGACTAACTTTCCTCGTCTCTAAACTTAACTAGTTATACATGGGATAGTGGAATTTTAATGTCTATAGGATTTTAATGTCTATAAAATTCCTATGGATTGTTCTAACTTTTCCTATTTTACATATCTCAATCCAATTTATTCTAAGAAATGGCTGTGTTAAAATATACAATATTTTGGCTATAATTTAGGATTGAAAATAGAAAATAACGTTAGAATTTTCTATTTTATTCTCTTCTCCTTTACAGGAAATTATTGCAATTAAGTGCATATCATTTTAACTCAATTTGCGTATTTTAAGGGGTTAGAAGAATTGTAAAGACATATCCTTTGTAGTTATCTTTAGGAGAATCTTAAATGAAAGTAAATTTCATTGATGTTTGAAGAGAAAAAAGGGGCATCCTCAATAAGAGGGTTAAAAATGAAAACAAAAATTAAAAAGTTAGATTATGAGCCTTTGCATGAATATTTGTTATCCAGTTATAGAGCACTGGCTCTGAGTTTTATATTTTTATAGATGAGTAAGAAAAGTCTTTGCCTTCAAAAAACAAATATTTAAAGCAATATTTTAATAGCACCACTTGCTAATTCCAAGTAATGCAAAAAACAGTCAATTCTAATTCTATGTAATACTGCAAAAACTACAAATACTACAATACTAAGTACTACTGAAATATTTAAAATTAGCAAAATCTGTGCAGTGGTAGTGGTATTATGGCCACTCTTTAGGTAAAAGAAAACTAAAGCATGGAGACATTAAGTAACTTCACCAAAATCGCCTGACTAGGCAGAAACAGAGCTGAGATTACACCCAGTCTGACTCTAGAATTAATTATTTTAGCCACTTATGCCAGAGATACAACATGATTACTGCTGTTCAGATTATGGACATTCAGTTCACCTCCTGGCTAGATGTTGAATGACCATGTAAGCTAGAACAAAGTAATCTCTAACTCTCAATTTGCTTATTCCTAAAAAGAATAAAAGAGTAGTACCTACTTCTGAATTGGAAAGAAGGTATAAGATAATGCAGATAAAGTGGACATGCTAGCACAGAGAAAGCTCTCAGTAAATGTTATATATTAGTAATATCATCATCACTGTTTTAACAATCATTGATTACTGTGATGATCTAATATATGAATCCATTACATTTTAGGAGATGAAAAGAGGAGAAGGAGTTTGAAAGTTTCACAGAGGAAATGAAATATCAATTGGGTCCAGAAATTAATAGAAGTTTCCAGGGATCAGAAGAAAAGCAGGCTATTTCAAAAAATGCCTATAACCCTTTGATTGTGCAGAAGTCTTATTCAAGGGCCCACCAGATTCTACACGATTTCTCTGTCTTCTCCTATAAAATTTTTCATCTGAATCACCTCTCTTGACCCCTGCCTCCTCATTATTTCTTATTATTTCTTCCCTTTTCCTGAGATACTTTTTCTCTAACAATATACATGGCTATCTCCTTCACTTTACGTCTTTGCCAAAATGTCACCATTTCAATAAGTCCTTTCCAACCACCCTACTTAAAATTGCAATCTGCCCCTGCCCCTAAACTCCCACCTTCTTACCCTGGTTTACTTTTGTTGTTGGCATGTATCACCTTTTCCCATACTATATAATGTACTTATTTGAGCTACTTTTTGTTGTTTATTTTTTGTCTTGTATCAACAAAATGTACATTTCTTGAAGGTAGAGATAATTGTGTTTTTTTTCCACAGACATATTCCAACCACCTAGAACAGTGCCTAGTACATATACATGCACAAGTGTTTGTTGGATGATTGAATGAATGATTGGAAATCTTAACGACAGTGAGTTTTGTGGGTCTTCCTGAATCTGTCCGCTCTCATCTGCTCTACTTGTGTTGAAGATGAGAAAAGGAGCATTTGATCTTCCAGTCAGTTGCCCAAGCACTGTGGGGACCAAGCGTAAATTTCCCATAACTATATTTTTATTTCGAGCTCCAATACCTCCTGAGCCTGCAGATCTAATTACCAATCCTCTCTTCTCCCCTTACTTCTCATCCTCCCACTATGCTTATGCCTTCTTCCCTGTGCTTCAGGAACAAGATTCCATTCCCAACAACATCTCCCATTGATTTCAGCCATGAAATCAATCATGAAGTCTCTGCCCTCCTACCACCCATGATCCCCTCTCCTGACCATAGAAGCAATCAGGTAAATAAGAACCTTAATGTCAGAGAGAGAGAGTCATCTGTTAGTGATTTCCTGGCACCTGATTTCATGGTTTCATTTCTTCATTCCAGAACAAAGATACACCCTTAAGGCGTGTGTCAGAATCTATCTCTTCCACTCTCTTTGCTGTATAGTATATAACAGAAACAGCTTAGGAGCCAGATAGATTTTAATCCTAGCCTTGCCACTTTGTAACTGAGTAGCCTTTCCCTAAGCCTATTTCTTCATCTACAAAATGGAAATGACACATTCTTAAAGGATTTTCATGGAGTTTAATACGTTCATACCCCCCCCTCAGTGCCTGCTATAGTTATCCCTCAATATATTGAGTACCCTCTTTTCCAACTAGTAAGGGAATATGATGTCTCCTTCCTCTATTTCTTCCTTTTTTATCTTAGAAGTGGGATGTCAGATTAACACGAGTCTGAAAACACACAGCGGAAACGCTGAATTGAAGGGGCAAGAGAGTGTGAACACAATTTCTGGCGAAAGTGGAAGGGATTGGGAGAGATGAGCAGTCACAGGCTTGTACCTTGATATGTGTTCCTAGTGCCTAGCAGAACTTGGTATATACTAGATACTTAATTAGGATGTCACACATTAATAAGTAAAGACAGATACTTGTCTCAACATTGTTGGGGGAAAGGGATTATCAGTAAAGAAAAATAAGCTTAATTTGTAGATAATAACATTAGATACACATTCTTAGGGTTTCACTCTTTTTGTGTAATAAGTGTGAGCTTCTTGACCACAATATTTTACATTGCTTATTTCAAATATATGGTACGTCAGACATTTTAGGCTAATTAGACATACGTAAGCTGCCGTGGAGAAGCAAACTTTTTATAGAAAAATTATTTCTGTAGGAAAAATGCATTTCAAATGTTCAGTGTACATATGTACTTTTAAACAGTAGAATAAACTGGGGACTGTGGTTTGTAATGTGATTAAAATGCTGTGTGCTTTTAAAAATACTATATAATTTATACAAGCATCTTTATGAAAAATTTTTTAATGATTTTAATAGTTTATATAAATACTTTCATTTATGTAAAACGTCTTTAACTATAGCATTTTTCTTCTCTTTTCTTCACAATTTGTGAGGAACAGAACGAAAAAATCTTTGTAGCACCAAGTTTCAACTTGTGAAAGTGGAGGGCATTTCACCCCTTTGAAGCCTTTCAGCACCTAAACTATTACCATCATCACATTTATCATTATTACGTTTCACCATTGTATTTGTTTGGTCATCGGCAGAGGCTGAGTTGCTCAGTAGGAGTTCATATTGTAGACATACTTGTCTAGACTAATGAAATGTCAGCTTCTCACATCTTCTGTTGGGCAACTTGTGTCTTCCACTTGGCACCAATTCTGGTTTTCATTTTATTTATTCATTCATCATTCATTCGTTTATTTATTTTTGAAAAGTACTGACTGACAAAATCATTTAGGTAATATAGTTGCCATTTTTCATGTCTGTTGCGTTTATCATTGTATGATGTTAATGTAGCTTTATTCATCATATATTTTGTGTTTAACATTTCATTCCACAGGCACTCCAGAAAGTCTGAAAGATCTAGCATCCAAAAACAGACTAGGAAAGGCACTGCCTCTGATGCAGAAAGGTAGGCTTGGTGTTGTGGTGTGCTGACATCTTCCATTTTATGAGTATATTTAGGGGTGCTGTCACTCTCATTTTACATGATCAGTTCTTAAACACAAATTGTGATGTTTAAAGGCATTCATGTAACTAAACCTACTCCTAAATGGAAATGATCTCATTGAAGAAGAGAAGGATAATTTCAAGGCATTTCTTAAATCTTAGGGTTCAAAAAATAATTATGTATTTCTCTTAGTGATCATTCTGATTACTAATAAGGATTAAATCCATACTCATTCCTATATACATATTAGAACATTAATATTTTGTTTCTGATATCATTTTAAATGTTACCAATGAATGTAGTGCCTGGAATATGCAAATTATTGACTGTCTTATTTATCTAAATAATGCCATCTTTTAAAAAAATCACTTTTCTACAAATGTATATTCTAATATTCTACTGGTATATTATAACCAAGGATATACATTGAGTTAGTGTAAAAATTATAAGAGATTGCTAACCTTTTGTTTGCAATTTGTCCAATTCCACAAAGGTTTTAAGTATTTTTAGGTACAACATATTGACACTTTTTGTTGTTAACATAGTGTAAAAAGATCTAAGAATTGCAACTAACATATATTCATTCACCCATTCATTTATCCAACAATGATTGAGAGCATGTAAAGGGACACAGATGTAAATAAATAAGTGTATTCAAGTATCACAGCTTTCATTATAGAGGTATGCACAGGTACAGTATGAACATAAGGAAAGGTGTGGGGTAAGAATGTAATTAGGAAATGCTTCATAAACAGATGTCCCTTGAGCTAAATCCAGATACATAAAAGTATGTGTGAAGAGTGGAGTATTCTAAGAGGAGACAACGTGAGAAAACACTGAGATTGGAAATATTTTCTTGAGTTTGGGGAAATGGTACCAGTTTTGGGATGGAGAACAGGATTCAGTGGATAGAAAAAGAGGCCTGAAAATAAAATCAGAGAAATTCTGAGAGGTTAAATGAGTGACATCACTATGCCATGTTAATACCATGCTAAAGAATTTCAACCTCTTTATTGATCTGTGAGCCACAGGTGTACTTTAAACATGGGAGGCAGAGGATCTGTTTTGAGTTCCAGAATTATAAATCACTTTGATTTTTGGAAGGTGGACCAAAGGACCTAGGGGTAGATGCAAGACATCAGCCAGGCTATCCTAATAGGCCTAGTAGAGATAGAATTTGTACAATTCAGTGATTCATTCATTTAACAGATATGTACCAACTATGTGCTAAGTTCAAGTAATAAAATAACAAGTAGCAAAAAAGAAAAGCTTTCCAGAGGATATTAACACTGAGTTGAGATCTGAAAAATGAGTAGGTGTGAGACATATCAACGGATATGGTAGGTAAAAGGGAGATGAAATTTACTTCTGGACAGTGGTCCGTGGGGGTATGACTATTTAGGGAACTTGATTCACAATGGAGTAAGGATACAAGGGGACTCACAAAAAGTGTTGAGTAGTAAAAGGAGTTGGACTTTGAGGAAGGAAATTGATCGATTGATAGATAGCCTTTGATGAACCAATGTTTGTATTTTCACATTCTTTAATCCCAGCTCAATTAACTGCAATTTCTTTACCATCATTGTAAATAACTATGATTTCTTAGATAAATTTTCAGTCTTCAACCATCATTTTCAGCCCCCTTTACAGAATTTCGATTATTTTGATATGACTAAACCTTTTCCTTGAAGTTGTGTTCTTTTAATTCTATTCAGTATTCTTTCATTCATTTTTTAAAAATACTAGTTGAAGCTGGGCGTGGTAGCTCACACCTGTAATCCCAGCACTTTGGGAGGCCAAGGCAGACAAATCACCTGAGGTTGGGAGTTTGAGACCAACCTGGAGAAACCCCATCTCTACTAAAAATACAAAAGTAGCTGGACATCGCGGTGCATGCCTGTAATCGCAGCTACTCAGGAGGCTGAGGCAGGAGAATCGCTTGAACCTGGGAGGCAGAGGTTGCGGTGAGCTGAGATTGCATCATTGCATTCCAGCCTGGGCAACAAGAGCAAAACTTTGTCTCAAAAAAAAAAAAAATTGCTAGTTGAGTGACTACTGTGTGTAGTTATATATTAAGGATATATCAGTGAACAAGTTTTTTGGCAATAGTATACTATTTTAGAAAATGAGATGATGTCAGAGTCAACCGGAGGTGCTTAACTCCAGATTAGTGATATTGAGGCATCTGCCTTTGCAACTCTGAAAGTAATCTGTGAATAAACACTAATCCTCCAATCAGAATAGCAAGGATTTGATAGACTTTCATTTTCAAATGTATGGCACTTATGAATTATATTCCTAATACTCTTGCCTTTCTTTTGCTTATAAAGTAGAAAGCTGTAACCTTTTAGGTGTGCTTGATTATAATTAAAGCTTTTCATTGATTTTTATTAGAGTGTAAGCTACATGCCTAGTTTCTGTGTGAATTGTTGAATAGCAAGTTACAAAAGAAGAACTGTCCTGGGTTTTCTAATTTATGTTAGCTATGAATAAGAGCTATCAAGAAGATACCTTGAATTTACATCTAGCTACACGTGAACCGAAGACACAGTATAAATGCTTTGGACACTGACTCCTGGCCTTTGAGAGTTGATAACTTCCCAAAAGGAGTCATACTACACAGTTTTGCATTGGTTTCTGGCAAAATTTGCTGTTTAATGATCATAATTTTAGAGGCCTTTTATTGCCCTCAACAAACGTAACCTCATGACAGATAGCCTTGTAAGAATGTATTTCGAAAGAGATGATGACCAGTTGTTGTTAGGAGACAAGTAGAACTGATTTATATCTTTTGTGCCAAGCCACTTAAGCATCATATTTTCTTGGGAAGCTTCTTGATAAAAGTCTAGCTTTTCATGTTCATGTGAATTCACCCATGAGAACTGCTGCCCATCATTTCTGCATTCTATTCTAGTGACTTCTCTTCTTGTGGAAACTACACTCTACATTCTAACTGGGGGATGCTTTATTTCTTTATTGGGACTACTATTTAGAATTGCTTACATAGGCATTTTATGGTGTGTTCTTGCAAAAGAGCCTGTGCAGGCCTGTAAGGGACCAGCATAGTAGGAACCACTTTGAAAATTTGACCTTAAATACCACATACATGTCCATCCTTTAACAAGTTGTTTAAAAACAAAAACAAAAAACAAAACCATATATTTTTTTTTAGGTTTTGGTAGAAGCAATTTACTGCAAGTCCATTTGCAGCAACAAAAATGTCTGACTAAAGATTCAAATTTTTATTGATAAGTGTGTTTTACTTAAGTGTAAATCAAAACTCTAGTCTTAGATGAAGGAGAGTAGGCATGGATTGAACTCAGTGGTAAATGTTTAGATACATATTTGGAGATGGTGAACTAGAGTCAGGCATATATAAGTTTGAATTAAACCTCTCTTTTTTTTTTTTTTTTTTGAGAGTCTCGCTCTGTTGCCCAGGCTGGAGTGCAGTGACATGATCTTGGCTCACTGCAACTTCTGCCTCCCAGGTGCAAGTGATTCTCCTGCCTCAGCCTTCTGAGTAGCTGGATTACAGGTGCACACTACCATGCCCAGCTAATTTTTGTATTTTTAGTAGAGACAGGGTTTCACCATGTTGGTTAGGCTGCTCTTGAACTCCTGACCTGGTAATCCGCCTGCCTCAGCCTCCCATAGTGCTGGGATTACAAGCATGAGCAACCATATGCGGCCACAAACCTCATTTTTTAAAAAGGAAGAGATACAGATATACATATTAGAGTGGTAGTTGTTAAATACCATTGTCCATATATTTTGATTCCACAAACTCTCAAACACAGTTCGGTTAAGTCCTGCCAAATAATTTGATACTTGGACATATGATTTGTGTTATAAGATTCATGGTACATCCTGAGATGTGAAATTACCATTTTTTTCTCATGATACGCAAACAATCCTATCTCACTAGACAGAAAAGAGAGCAAGCATTGGAGCTGGACAGACCTGTGTGGATCCTGCCTCTACCACATTTTAGCTGTTTCTCTTTCTCCAGGTCACTCTATGACCCTCAGTCATAAAATAAAATAAAATAGTAATAATAACACTTCCTAGTGTGTGAGAATACAAAAAGGTACATAGGTATATACTTGTGTGTGTACACATATAGATACATGTATGCATGAATACATGCAGCGTGCCTGCATATGTGCGCAAACACTTTCAGTTCCTGTCATGAATAGATGACCCTATATTGATCCTCAGTAAGGAACAGCTGTTACTGTTATGTTATTTATCCATCCTACACTCCCTGTTTCATTCTCTAACAGGTTGTTCTAAATCTCTGTCATTCTTCTTAACATCCTTACATTCTTAGCACACCCCATTTCACTGAAAAGATCAGGGCACAACAGCCTGGATTCTTTCAACTTTACACCCTGTGCCTCAGAATTTCTTGATTAATTGTCCTTTCCTCTTGCCTAAAAACAAACTATACTTGGTTCTATTATCTCTCCTCTGCAAAACCTTGCTCTTCTCTCTCCAAGCTCTGCATTTTTCCTCTCCCCAGCTTCCCCTTCATAATTCATCATTGCTACCACATTCCTTTCTTCCTCTGGCAAAGTGGCTTTCTGTGCTTCTCTTTTGGTCTGTGATCTCATGCTTGTTACAGAGTGGCTGGGGGCAGGAACTCTTTCATTATTGAGGGACTTTTCATGTCAAAGAAAAAAGCATATCTTGTGCTAAACGATTAACGTCAAACATTACAGGCTGTTTTCAGACACTGCAAACCTTGTGGTTCAGGAGATGGAACACTATATGTGGTTGAGCTGTGAATATTCACCCAGGAAGCCATTTATTTGCTCCTGAAATTGCTTTTTATACTTTTGCCATTTAGTTTGGTGTCACAGCAAGTTCACCTAAATTATTTACATTTCAAGTCACATTTGAGTTTTTCTTTTAGTGCTTGTGAATTGCTTTAAGGAATGGAGCAAGATTTAAGTGAAATTGTAATATCCATGACATTTCTCAGTAATAAGGTGAAAACTGTGTAATTCCATTTGCAAGCCACGTTTAGAAAGTGTATCTTGAACAAGGATTGAAGTTTATTGTCATGATAATGGCTTTCAAAGAGTAATAGATAAAACTCTTATCGCTGGAAAGGACTTGATGATGTACTCTATCCCTTAGAAATTAATTCTATATAGTTGAGTTAATGTCGATAGTCAATTTAGAATAAACAGTTTTAATATATAGAACACTATGAGTTACTTTTTATTTTAATTTGGAAATTGAGGAAACAGCCCAGGTTTCAGGGTTTGAACTATAGTGTGATAAAGCACTAATTGATAGCTCAAGAAAGTAAAATACACTTTTATTAAAAATCTAAGCTGAACATCTTTTTGTTATCTTCAACCTGACTTTTTCCCGTTTTGTTGTTCTTAAATGAATAAATACTCAGAATCAAAATCATTATAGCTTTTAAAATAATTTTACTTAAAAGAAAAAGAAAAATTGCCAATCTGAATAGAAGTTGAATGACACTGCTTTATGTGCTTTTGGTAATAAATATGTATTCTTTGTTCTCACACATTTTTAGTCATTAAGTGAATTTTACAGTATTGCTTTAAAAGGGATAAGGTATCATTTTATTTCTGTCAAAATAATACATGCTAGGTATTTTAATCATGCATTTTGTTTAAAATATATACCAAAATCAATGAAAAAGGCCAAAGCATGCCTTTATAAAAATAAGTACGTATATATAAACATCGTTTTTTAATTTTTAATTCATTAATTGGCTTTACAATAATTTTAAACACCATAGTAATATAATCGTCAAAATATGGATACATACATTTTCAGATATTGTTATATCTGAGAGAACATGTTTTTATCCATATTTAAGCCATTTATATTTAATCAGATGTATAATTAATGAAGCATTCTCCATCTTATATTGTTTTAATTTTTTTTGTCTACTTAGATTAACCTCAAAAGGCAGCCTTCTTCTGTTGTTTTTGGCATAGTCTTGCTTATTAGAGTAAAATTATGAACATTGTAAAAACATAGAGGCCTACAATATTTCTTCTTGAAGGCAAGCACTTGAAGCTTCCCTGTATTCATCATCCTAATTACAGTCACTCATTCAAGCAACATACCTTTATTGAGCTCTTGCTCTCTATGCAGCTATGTTGTAGGCACTCGAGATAGAGCTCTATAAAACAAAACAAAACAAAAACAAAACAAAAAGCAAGCAAAAAAAACAGAGACAGGAATCTCTGCCCTTGGTGGAACATACAAGAGGTTTATTACGTTAGAGCAACACCAATTAGCCTTTTAAAACCACATGGCATTCACATTTGCAATAATAACTTGTCAGTTTGATTTGAATTCCATTTCAATAATTGCGTGATGGGTTCTCTTCTTTGAAATTACTGTCATGTATGAGTAACCAGGTTTTCCTTGGACAAATGTGTTGGTATCAAAGTTAATGTGAACCTGCTGACTGAAGATCTTTTTTGGCCCTAATGTTTTAGGGTTCTCCCAACATGTCTTTCTAGAAGGGGACACGCAGCCCCAAGAGCAACTGATCAGCCAGTCATTAGGGGAAAACATCCTGCTCGCTCAAGGTCGAGTGAGCACTCTAGTGTCAGAACACTGTGTTCTATGCACCACCTTGTCCCTGGAGGGTCGGCGCCACCTTCTCCGCTTCTGACAAGGTCGCTATTCAGTGTCCCCCTCAGCATTCATGTCCTGCCTCCGGGTGTTGGTGTGGTGTTGTACCTTCCTGAGCACTCGAAGCTTTCACTCATTTTGACACCATAACTTTTAATCCTTTCTTTGTGACACTTAAATCTCTCCCACATCCTCTTTTACTTGCATCTATCTTCACTGTGCTGGTGGTATTCTATAGTTTCTGCCAATTAGCTCTCATTGAAAATTAAATTTGGCTGTGTTATGTCCTTTCATCTGTTTGTGGCATATTCATATATAATTTTTTTAATTATGTGAAATTTTTATGATAAATTACCTGGAATTAAATGTGTGCTTACTTTAGAAAGCATAAGAGGAAATTTTAAGAATCTTTTATATGTGTTCATTAAAGTGTTAGAATGTGTTAAAGTTCTTTAGTTTGAAAAGTGTTTAAATGCCAACAGATGGAAGTCCGCATAATCCTGGGCAGTAATAATACATCTGCACACTTCTCAAATTTTTATTTGTAATTTTAATGCTAGCACCAGTGTATTTCATAACATGTGTCCAGGATTATTTTAAGTATCTTTCAAATTTGTTCCTATTTAGAAATAAAGTACAAGTGAGTGGTAATTTATAAAAGTCTGCAGCTAGAATTCTTATCAGTTATAAATAATTCTATAGTCTAGATCAACTTAAGAGTAGCAGTTTAGGCAACAGCCTTTCTTACCTCGCTTATACATATTGTTAAGATCCAGAGGCTGTAATTAGATATATTTGGTTCAGTAATGCCGAAACTGAATAACTTGCCCAGGTAGAACAACTTAATAGAAAGTTAATGAAAAGAAGTGAATTGGATTCTGCTCAGTTTAAGAATTCATTATGTAGAACTGTGTGTGGTGCACATTGCCCTATCTCATTTAACCCCTTTTTGTAATATTCCATTTATACATATCATAAAAAGTGTTTGATTCTGCTCCCATTGGCCCAGTGAGGGGGGTTATGTCTATTTTAATAGTAACAGAAAGGAGGAAAAGATTTTTGTCAGACCACGTTGGAATTTCATTATTTCATGCCCACTTTGCTTTTTGCCTGCAGAATGCACCGACAGAGAAGTCCAACACAATCTCCTCCAGCAGACACATCGTTCAGCAGTCGTAGGGGAAGACAGCTCCCACAAGTGCCAGTGAGAAGCGGCAGTATAGAACAAGGTATCCGATAAAGAGAGATCATTGTCCAAAAATCTTGGATTTGAGAACCTCCTCTATTTATACCCCTTTTATTAAATGAATAGTATTTTGATTATATATAGTTTGCTGAATCCTAAAAATTTAATTTTCTTACAGTCTTTATCCCCAACACCTAGTGACAGTGGTTCATGGCATGCACACAGTTTTTGCTGAGTGAGTTTTGCTGGATGAATTAATTTTAGATGGTCGTTTAACAGAAGGAATGGAGGCCTAGAAACATCTTATTCCAAAGGGACAAAGGAAGAAAATAAAATTTTAAAATCACAGTACAATATGGCATTTTATGTGTTAAAAGAATATTTTACCTTTAAAATATGTTTTAAAAATTATACTTAATCATTCTGAATCCTTTACTATTTTTTTCGTTTAACTTGATTAGCAGTAGCCTATATTTTAATATAAGTTTGATGATGAAAAAAATGACAGAACACATGTTTTAGTGTCTTCAGCAATTCATATTGCTTAAAGATTTTCTTATTTTATGCATATATTATTGCTTCATTTTCTGAGCAACAAAGGAGGAGAGAGAGAGAGAGAGAGAATGTATACAGTCTGATTTTAGTAGAAACTAAATTCTCTAAACTACCTGAGCTAGATGATTTAGACACTAGGTTAAAGTAGTATTCTTCATGTGACCCAAAGTGCTATCACATATCTTAGTAGGTGAAATGATTTGTATCATTATTTTTTAATCACATATTTTAAATCAGGGATTTGGTAAGCAATTTACTAAAATAATTTCTACTTTGGGATTGTAATATAAATGTAATAGAATCATTTTTAAGATATTTATTAAAAACCTTCATCCCTGTGAAACAACTGAAAGGTTAACACTTTGATTATTTTTTTCAGCAGTGTTATTGTTGCTGATGGAAAACTTGCATTTCATTTTATATTGAGGGTACAGGGGTATTTGTTTTTCTCACTTAACTGAAGTTCTTTACTGAATGTATCACAGAAATGTTAAAGATCTCAGAAGGTAAATGCATTGTTTCAAAGACTGATGTGGCATAGATTGCCATGCAGGATACTTGATTATAGGAAAATTAGTGTAGATTTTTAAAGGTATCAACTTATTAATAGAGTAACACTGGTGTGATAAACTCTTGAGTTTATATTTTTAAAAATACATTCTATTGATGCTCCATGCTTTAGTTTTCAGGGTTGCTAAAAGGGTTTTCATTTAGTGAACCATGAAAATATGATGCGTTGTGAAACTCTGACTTTCTTTTTTAAAATAGCAGTTAATTCATTGGAATTATTAATTGACATGTTTAACATTTTTCCTCTCCTCTCTGGGAACATTTTAAAATTATTCATAATTAATCTGGCAATAACCCAGATGAAATTGTTTTAAAATTTATTTTTTAAAACAAAAGTTGGTGTTTATTTAACGTATCTATTCATGAGCTCCTGTTGCACAACTGAAAGAACTACAAATGTGGGTGTTTAGTTACAAAGTCGGTGTTACCGATCATATTTTACTAAAGATTGATATTCTAAAACTCGTGTGCTCCTAAAATTCTTTGCATTTCCTCCAGTTGCAAATAAAATATTTGATGGGTTCAAAAGCATATAAGGGTACTGCATATAACTCTCCTATAGTGAGATTGTGGTTACATTATTTCATTATTTCTGTATAAATAAGAATTGCTTCCACAAAATCAGTTATATTGTACATTGGATTTTGGTTTTTTTTAAAAAGCTCATGTTCTATTGTTAATATCAATGTTACTGTTTATGATATTCCTATTCACAGTTGTCTTTCAGAGAAATCATCAATTTGTAAGGATTGAATTAAGGTGGGAAGAAGGGAATGACTACATTGGTGGAGTTATTTTGATATTTAATATGACAAATACACTAATAAACATTTTGGTTATTTGAGTTTCCTGAAATATATGATCCTTAGAGTTATATACGTACAGCTTTTAAAAAATGTGACAACAAGCGTGTATTTTATATATATAAATGTCCTATAAATAAAAGAGACCTGGTGTTTTTTAATGATATAAATATGTGCTTTGGGACTTTTGGTAAATGATCATACTGTCTGCCGTCATCTTTTTATGATTCTATTTCAAAATGAACAGTCCACATGACAGCTTTGTTTGTCCTAAAATATGTTTATAAAAGTAAATTTTGATTTGATGTATGAGTTAGATAAGATTTAGCATGTTCTATTTAAGATTGATTTTATTGTTGTTCTTAAGGCTATAGAATTATGTCATTTTATTCTTTTGATATTATTTGTTAAACTTTAGTTCCATCTCCCATGAAGATTAATGCTGACCACAGTCTATTACAATTGATTAAGCCCCTACTGCACTTAACTTCCTTCCCTTTTTTTTTTTTATTTTTAACAAAGGGTGGTTTTCTGTTTAGAAAATAATTTGATAAACAGCTGATTGGTAAGAACAAATATTTCAAATGGTTTAGATTACTAGATACTGATACTCCTTCTTGAGGCACTTATAAAATAATTTTATTCATACACAGTTTCTGGGTACAGTTATCTACATTACTGATTTTGGAATGTATGCCGGGACAATTTGACTGTTTCACCAAGAGTATGTTTTTTGTTTTTTTGGTTTTTTTTTTTTTTTTTGTAAATCAAATATACTACTCTCTATTTATACCATAAAGGCAGTAGCTCTTAAAGGCTAACATACATGAAAAGACATGTTTACTCAATTTTTGAAAAGGTGTTTTAAAGTTTATTTTAAAAATTTAGAATGCTAGCCTGTTTGCTACATGGAGCCTGATTATGTTAAAGTAGATTTAGGGGAAAAACAAAGAGGTGATCACAATACAGATTTTTGAGGTAGAGTACTTGAAAAAGTAGCCTTATAATTTAAGTAACTCTAATGGTATGTGATAATTGAAAGCAAAGACTTCCACAACATTTTTCTGGTTATATTTCAACACGATATCCCAGCATATCCCTTATGTATAGTAAGGCTGAAGACAGCTTATTTGGTTGTATAAAAATGGATTTCTGAAACCAACCAGTAACTTTTTTTGTGCTCAACTGGATCTGTTAAAGAAGTATTTAGAGACCATTCACAAATTAACAGTAAATGATGTGTTAGTTATGTTTTATATCTTCCATTATTATATCACCTACCTAAAACTCCAGTGATATTCCTCCTCAGGAATATAGAAACAGGCCATTAGTCCTCTGTAAATAGTACAAAATGAAGAGGTGGATATAAAGCCTTATAAAATGTCTAAGAAGTATAGTCTCTACAAAACAACTAATTTTACTTTGGTGTATTTTAATGTAATTAATTTGAGAAGAAAGAAAGGATTACTTAAATTAGAATTTTCTTTCATGTGGAAAGTGTTACAGAATAGTTTCCATGGTGCAAAGAAAGTGTAAAAATGGAGTTCATTTTTTATTTATCAGATAAAAAAATAAATTTCATTTTATCATATGAGACTTTATCATATGAACTTTCATTTTTGAAATGATAAAAATTTTTGTTATGAAAATTAAGTATGCTTTTAAATACTTTTCCAACAAAAATCACAATGGATTTGAGATGTTTTAATAAAATTGGTACTGAAATTTTATACAGCTCTTAAAAGGAAAGAAAAAATAATACAGAATATATTTTTCAAATGCCAAACATACTAATTTCCCAATGTTTTTGTTTCATTTTAAATCTTTAAATTGCTGTATTCATTCTTTCTTTGATTAATTTTAGTACCATATTTGGGAACTCATGGTTTTTCATTGCAATTTATCATGTCACATTATATGTTATGCATTTTAATTATTCATGCCATTGTGTTAATTTACATTTCCATGTCTAACTATAAATTTGCTGATTTCTTTCTTTTGTTTCCATCATTATGTGCATTTAATTCATTGAAGAACAAGAAAAATATAACTCTTCCACAAAAGGTAAATATTAACATAACTTTTTAACCATTTAATATTGTTACTTTTAAAAATAATAATATACAAGAGTTATATAACGGTATTTATTGAAATAATGAGCAAAATTAACAGGTAGCTATTTTCCTGAAATGACTTTGTAGTGTATTTGATATTAATTATTTCATATTCTATGTTTACATCAAAGAGATTACTTTAAAATTAATGTTTTTTTAAAAAAAATATTTAAAATTAATGTTGTTTTTTTTTTTTTAATTTATCTACACTGACAACTAGAAAACAACTCTCCTTGGAAAATGACATTTTCTTTGTTTCTGTTTGTTTGCATTCCCCTGCTCTCATAGATAAGAGATTTAATTCTTCTATTCAGGGTGATACCTGGTAAAAGTAGAAAATCTCTGGATTTTACTTTCCAGATAACAGTAACCTTAGTGAATGTTCTGGCCCTGGCTGCAGTCATACATCTGAGAAGCTGCTGCCTAAATGTTACTTTGGTTTGCCTCAATACTGTTAAAATACCCATTAATTTTATCTTTCTGAGAGTCATAGGAGAGGAAAACCATTCAGCACTTTTGGTCTTTGCACTTGAATTTCAAATAGGTTGCAGGATTCCCCCCACAGTCATATGCTGCCCACACCATTTTCTGTTCAGAGTTGCTGTTGGCCTGATGATTAACTATTTGAACATACATTTTCAGCTTAATGTGATAAGGTTAATTATATTTAATAATTGTGTAATTCTGTATAATTTAATAAAAGTACATTTTCTCAATATTTGAAAGTGGACTAACGATTGAATTAATTTGTTGTCCATAGTAACAACAAATTAACGCAAAGCTAGTTCTGAAAATAGCATCATTCCTATTTTATGAATAAGGAAACAAGTTTAGAAAGATTATGACATTTGCCCAAACTGCTCTTCAGTAGTAGACTACAAACCCAGATCTTTTTACTTTTGACCTTTTCCACTACATGTTGGTGTATCCTATTTTAGTAAGTACAAATCCCAAATATATTATTTCTCACTCTTAGTGTATCTAGTTATGTGTTATGTATCTCAGTATTACAAAGAGAACATTTTCAGTTACATATTTAATCTGTATTTATAAAAATGTATTTAACAATATTTATATTCAGGCACTATACATACATATTATTCTGGCATAGTGTCTGATATATTAGGCAATACATATATTAATTAAAAATTTAAAAATTCAATGAGATCAAGATGTTTTGGCCATAGATTTTGCATAGATTTCTAGCCATCCTGCATTTTTACATCAGATATTGGAAACACAACATTAGATTCAGTAGTACAAGAATGACCAATGTAATTTTACTTAAGTGCAGAAGAATGTAGTTGGATTTGCAAGATAAATTTTAGTGTGCTAAAAGTATTAGATTCATATTAGAAATGGCCATGACCTAATTCCTTTATCCAAAAGAAAGAAAAATATAATAATTCTTCATTTAGAGCTCTTTCCATATATATTACTAGGAAAAGCTGTACTTAGCTAAATAAAACAAAACAAAATCCATAAGTATAACCTAAAGTCTGCATGAAATATGCACATTTAGGGCCTCTCTGCAGAGCATGTCAATTTATGTTTTTATACAGTCAGTGTGTCCTGGCTGAGAGGTGTCATCACCCTTCCAAGCATTCCTTGGAAACAGGATGTATAAATGCCTCACAGAATAGACCTCATTTTTAGAAACAACCAAAGAAGCACATCCCAAAATGCATTCAGCAAGGTATAGGTCAGAAAAAGGATGCTGCGCCTCTCCTTAGGGATTTAAGATGGCGCAGTTTAGCCACTGGACATGGCTCTCAAAACCTTGAAAGGATAGAAGCAAGCTCAAGAAATTTCATTGAAATCATATTTTAAGCTCACATAGACCAAAAGAAAGGAAAAATTCACAGCATAGAAATCCCACTTCTGTGAGCTGAAGTTTATCTTTACTGGGATCTCTCTTATTAGAGAATTCAGGTTATCATGAGTAAATCCCGGATAAATGAAGACGAGTACGCAAGATAAGGGGTTCATTAGTCACGGTTTGTTTTTGATTAACTGTAGATGAACTTGTAGGACAACCAGTGGTTCCAGTTTGTCAGGGACTGAGAGTTTTCCCAAGATGCAAGACTTTCAGTGCTAAAACTGGGACACTTCTAAGCAAACAAGAATGGTTGGTTATCCTATAGGGAACCAGTCTATTAATTTTCCAGCATATGTTTGTAAAGTCACATAAAGAGAAGTGTAAAATACTGAAAACATTACTAATGGTAGATAGGCTATATTGAGCACTTACTATATGTCAGTGACTCTACTAAAAGTGTTACATATTTATCTCATTATATTTTCACAACAACCTGAGATCTGACTATTACTATGCTTATTTTCCTGCTGAAAAGTTAAAAGTTAGATTAAAAACTTGGCCCCTTGTCAGTCAGTATTTCATTTTATAAATGATAGAATAGGAAACGAGACAGAAATCCCTCTCCAGGGAACTTGTTCTCATCCACTTTGCTCTGTAGGCTCTTCAACGTTCAGACAGCATTTACTGAGTACCTGCTTTGCATGCATCACCACATAATTATAGTAACACATATACAACTGCAAGGAAGGTTTTTTTCACCCCATTTTATTGAAATCGAGGGAAAGAGGTTAAGTTGAATGCCAAAGGTAACAAAGCTGCTGTGAGGCAAAACCAGATTTTGAATCCACAGCCCATGTTCTGTGCCCCACACAATGTTCCTGTAACAATCACCACTCAACACTGGGATTTTGGAGAGGCCCACTTAGTTTTTCCTCCCTTTCCTTATTGATTCAGTTTTGCATCTCTCAGTTAAACCTTCTACATTTGGCCTGCTCCTCCAATTGCCATACAGATAACAAATCCTTTGGCTTGAAAGTTAACAAAGTTAACAAAGATAACACATCCTTTGGCTTGAAAAGTTAACCAAGGAACTATAAATGTTCATAGTACTTTGTTTACATTTTAACTCCCTCTTTTATGTTGACAGCTTAAAGATCATATCATTTTAGTCTTCACAAACTGCTTTATAGGCCTATTTTAAATTATTCATTCTAAAAGTAAGCCAATTTTTCCCTCTCTGCTACATTTCTTGGACAGTTTTAAAGAGCCCATGAATGTAGTTTGGGGGCATCGAAATAATGATATAAGAAGATCAAAACTGAACCAGAAATTAAATGACTTCAAGGTGAGAAAAAATGTTATTGTCATAATAAATTTATGATTTATATGCCTTTAGATAGAATTTTTTAAATGCATTAAGTTCTTGGCTCTTGGGAGCAATTTTGAATCATAACAAAACACATCATATTATCTTTTCTACAAATATGAATTTCCTTTATCGTAATGGTGTGTAATTTATACACATGGAAAATGAAAGGCAATTAAAGTAAGTAAATTATTTATAGGAATAAATAAATAGCATTTTGGTCCTTTTTGCTTCTCTGTTTCACTAATAAAATATGTAATAATTATTGTAACTAGATCTTAGAGATTGTAACTAGATCATTAGGATTGTCTCTAATCAACTATATTTTTAAGTACCAGGTTTCTTTAATAAGTTCTCTAATAAGTTAACTTTGCTTTCCTTCTTTAAATGTCAGTAAGAACAGTTTGAATGCTAGGTTATGCAAACTATATTTTCCGCAAAACTTACGAGCATTAACTTTGGTGGAATTCAAGTAAAGAAGTGAAAAATATTAATTCTGGTAATTTTTTGTACAGTTGTATAAATAAAAATTAAGCACATTTCAATAGCGTGCTGTGGTTGTGAAACACTCTAAGAACAAATTATGTACTCTTTTTAAAATAAGTAAACCAATTTTTGCATTTTTCAGAATCAGCATTCTTTTAACTGTCATTAAGTAGCAAAGGTCTCAGTTTTATTTACATTTTTATTATTAGTGGTAGATGCATATTGGGCCAGGTGAATCATTTTCTGTTATTGTGTGTTAAGATTTTGAAAATACAAGTTTCTTAATATTCCTGGGCATTGCTTCTCCTGAACACTTATTATGAATCTTTAAGAATATTTACTCATAATATTTAGAGCTCTATTAGGAAAAGTAATTTATCTATTTCTTTTTTTTTTTTTTGGCATAATCTCATGAGTATATTGTCATTCTAGCCTTCTCTTTAAACTTCAGGAATCCAGAGGGTTAAGCAGATTGATTAGAAAAATTCAGAAGTAATGCTTTTGACCCTGTTTTCCCATTTGGTGATTCAGATGTGTTTATTTATAGTATCACAGGCTTTTAAAGCTTCAAAGGCTTTAACGCATATTAACCAAGACGCAACTTGGAAGAGAGACCTAATTGAGGGAGAATGGATGTCTAACCATGAACGGGCTCTTTGATATATTTTCTCTGAAGTTGTATATGTTCCCCAAATATTGTAAAACACAGGAAAAGACTTTCAAAAATCAAATTTGAATTTAGCAGAATTGTGCCAATCAAGTCTTTCAGGATAGATTCTGGATCCATTAGTATTATTGGAGTAATGAGAAATTATGGCTAAATATTTTAGATATCACTTGGTATAAACAACATGACTTCCTCTGTGATTGGTTTTGTTATCCCCCAAAGAAGGCTTAATTACACAGGTTGCTTTTTATAAAAATTGCATTTGAAGCACATCTTATGGGAGATAGTGTTCACTCTCAAAACCTAAACATGCTTTTAAAAGCTGTTTAACTTTGTGTAACCCTAAAGGACAAGGTATATAACAAATTTTTTTATAAGAGCCTGACTTTCTTACTTGTCAGTGACTAGTATTTTCAGTGATACTCGGGGAATTGGCAGTTTTTACATTGAGAAATTATGTCTGGAGTTGGACATCCTGAGCTTCAATTTAGATAGTTCAATGGGCATAAGTACGCTAAAACAGGAGATGGTCTTGTAGTTTTGGCTGCAGTGAGACTTGAGTGATTATATATACAAATTGCCTCTTTCGCCAATGCCAATGTTCAATTTCAC